TAAAAAAAGTCAGGAAAGGGAAAAAAACCCCCCCCCCCCCCAAAAAAAAGCAACAGCAGATCTGTGTTTACAGCATTCTTATGCTGTGCATTTGTAGGCTTCTTAAGGCTTTAAATTCTGTGTGTTGAGCTTAACTTCCCTAACATGCAAGTTATTTATGCCCCAAACACATTCTCCCTAGCCTGTCTTTAACTGGAAGGGAAAGTGAGCATACTAGCCAATGATAAGGGATGGAAAAGTCTCAAAAACTGAAGTAGGCATCTCATTAAGAAGAAAAGTTGCTTTGTTTACATCTTTAAAAATGTCAGTCACTCTGTATTGTAATGAACAGGATATAACACGATTCCCAGCTGTCTTGTAATATTGTCTGTGTTCAGGCAGGAAATTGAAAGGAAAGATTGTGACAGAAGTTTTGAACAGGGCAGACTGTGCTTTTCATTTCAGAAACCAGTATGCAGTGAATTTTCCTATGCCAAAGTGTCACTTTTATTCCAATTTCATTCCATACAAAAAACAGTCACACAAATATGTCTGTTTCTCTTCCCCTCTGCCTTGGTTCTTTTTCTTTTCTGTTTTCCTCCCTGTTGTGAGCAAATTCTCTACATACTGTACTAATCTTAAGCCACAGTTTGGAGAAGAAAATGATTGAAATTGTGAAGGAAGTATGATCTCTAGTTCTGGTTGTTCTTCTTCCTCTTCTTTCATTAATATATGCTTGCTGTATTGCAACAACACCTTACCAATTTTTCTGTAAGTATTTCTTCATATTTGTCCTATAGATGAACGCAATACAAAATCCTAGATGCAAACATTTACAAATTTAAAATGTAATTTTTTTCTGAAAGCAGACTATGTTAAATAATGGTATCTCTCACTCAGTAGAGTTTTTTTCCTGGGTATTTTCCCTTGGGCATATTGGATATATTGGATTTTCTTCTTGTTAGCCTGGTGGGGGAAGGGGGAGCATAATGCATCTAGTGTGAGAATAAGATGGATTCCATTCTGGCTTTGATCTTGTCTGCAGTTTTCTTAATTACGTTTCATTACACATAACTTTTTGTTGGCAATGGATGATCTAGGCAGAATCCATATTACAAAAGCACTATGAATGTTAAATACATCCTTACCCTAACTCAGACCTTAGGCTGAGTTGGTAGGTTTGTTTTACAAGAAAAATTGACCACAATTATATGTCTTTGAATAAAAATAAAAATGGAAATGTTGCCCACCTTCCATCAGATGGGGGCTGGAGAAACAAAAACCTTTCTGTGGTAACATCCCAGTACAAAAAGCACCTTAAGTAAAGGTCAAACCCAAATTTTATGACTAATACTACGTCCTAGGTGTCACTTTTAAACTTCAATTTCATTTTACCTTCTTCAGGTACAAACATTATGAAGTGGAATGAACACCCAGAGAAACTTAGGAGCAACAGAAGTCTCATCGCTTTCTTGTCCAAGTGAAAGGCACACTTCTTTGCCCTTGCCTATTCTGACATAAGCTCATATAAATGCGTACACTTTGAACAAAACCACTACAGAAATAAACTACTCTACTGTGCATACAATTCTCTTTCTGGTGAAAGGATGAGAGAGAATGAACTATATAAGACAGGTGTATGTTATACCACTTAGTGCATAGTTGGAAGGCACTCGTACAACAGTGGTAATGGTCATATAAGAAACTAGATAGAACAGAATTAAGTATAAAGGACTCAGGGTGGATTTTGCTTTACGCAAGATTAAATTAACTTGGAAAGTAGAAGTTTCAACATCACTTACAAAATCTTTATTGCTAACTTTATCTTTATTTTGAGAACTGATGAGAAGGGATTTGTTGTTGGCCATGTATCCCGAGTTTAATTTCATGTTTGGCTCCTTCAGTAAACCTTAATACTAAAAGAGTGGCTTTTCCCATGACTTTGGCATGTGCTATCTCTATTCAAGCATGGCTTTCTACTTCTTAAGCCTTCCAAAATGTAATAAGGTGGGTTCTATCCAGCTGGCACTCCTTGAGTCCATCTGGACAAAGAAGACTGGTTTATTTATCTAAAAAATGAAATCTGGGTAAATTTAGCAAGCGCACCATTACGAAAATCATGTCCCAACTCATTCACAACCTGAGAAAACAATAGCATGAGCACTGACTGTCAATCTTCTGCTATTCTCACAATACTGGGTTTATTTTTAATCAAAGCAAAAGCAGAAAAAGACACACAACAGCCTTATAGCTTTGATACAGAGTTGGCTCTGGTATGATACCAATAGCCACCTGTTGCTGGAAGTAGTTGCCAATGACTGAGAGAAGCTATAGAGATTACACACAGTGACCTGTTATTCATGGTCTGGCATTTTAAGCTCATGAATGGCTTGATTACTTAGATCTAAATATCTGGAAAGCTGTCCAAAGTCTGATAGGGTGTTACAGCATTCATTCTGAGGTGGTATTGATGATGACTTGAAGGAAAAAAAAGAGTGGGGGAAAATGAAGAAAAAAAGTCTGAAACAAAATTTACCACACCTCTGTCTACAACGAAAGGTTACATTTGTAGATATGCAATGTGATCATATTTATGATATGCTTTTGTTTTTATTTTTTTCTGATTTCATGCCCTTTACGTGTAGTTATGCCAACTAGACAATCTCTTGAATAATTTGTCTAAAACCAAAAAGAGACCCAGATTAGAACTAAAGTTTACTGAAAGAGGCTCAACTTCTTCACATCAGCAGTGTCTCTTTCATCACATCTCCAATGAAAAATTTCATACGTTACAATAGCAAACTTTGAAAATGTTAACAGCCAGCTCTCAATTTACCTTAGCTCTGCACTCTCAAATTGTATGAAATATAATTATGATGATATGAGATGTTTCTACTATTTGTAATAATAATAATAGTCATACCATATCCTGCAGTAGAAAGCCCCAGGTGCTTCATTCTGTTTTTGACAAGTTCTGCAAGTTCCTGTCTTTCAGACCGCCTGTAAAGGTTCATTCGCTGCTGGCTGATTTTCTCTGCTGTTTTGCCAGAGTGCTTTGGTACTTTTCTGCTCAGCCTCCGGGCCCACTGCATGCTTTTTCGTCTTAACAGGGGATGATCTGACTGATCGCTGGATGTGGAGTTACGATGATTGCTGCGGTAGTTAATTTGCTCTTTGGTGTCCTTGGTGTCTTCCCATTCTTCAACACTGATAGAGATTTGAGACTTCAAAGGGAAAAATAACATGAGAAATTAAGGGCTTCAGAAAATAGACATTTTAGTTGAAGTTAGGGTATCTTGTGACCTTCCCTTGGCTTCAATTCAACAAAACAGGTAAGTCACCCAGCAGACAAAACAGTTGAATATGCTAAATTGAATCTGCTGAAGCTGCACATGCCTTGCTGAATGAGGACCATTTTCTTTTGGTGTCCTGGCATTATGTATAATCTTTGTTTGTAGCATGATATAAATGAGGTCATATTTTTCCTAACAGGTAGAGTAGCTAAGCTCTATTAATGCTTTGTGCTGCTTTATTTCTTTATTTGCCACTTTCTAATAGGACTTCAATACAATTTTATACCTTTTGCAAAATCTAGATGTAAAACTATTTAAATTGTAGCTTGATGGATCAAATGCAATGTCTCTTCCCTGCTGCAGACTGACTTCCCTTATCTACTGTCTTTTTATATGCCCTTAATTGTTCAAGGTGTGATGTAATTTCATAGTAATACATTGCTGAAATAGAGTAGATTCTTGCAGAAGACTTGACTTTCTGATGGGACAGTTTAGCAAACGTTTTTTAAGCATCCACAGAAAAAACGATAATGACAACAGGACAGCTATATTTGTCTTTAATTCTCAACTTTCCAACCTTAAAGGTCATGTGTACCAGGTACAGAGATATGTAGTTTACCTAGCTGTATGTTCCCTTTCACTGGAAGGATTCTTAATTGCTTCCTTATTGCATATTTAAGATATTTAAGCATAACAGAAAGAGGTTTACAAGGGCCAAAGAACTGAACCTGCATTTTGTCGGCAATATTTCCTAAGAGCTATCAGATGTCCAACTGCTGATGTAATACCAGTCACAGTTCATTTCTTAATAAATACATGATCTTTTCCATATTCTGTTCAAGTGAATGACTTATGTGTAAAATGGTATCGCATGTAAAAGTAAAACCAGGAATTCAGGTAAAACAATATTTTAAGAGACAAATGCCTGTTTCAATTTCTGTATTAAACTAATGTCAATATTCCTGTGTTATGTGATGCTTTATTTCTTCTGATTATTACTTTCAGCCTTAAGATATTTATAAAACCTTGTTAACCTTTGGAAACCAGCTGTCATTCCAGCTCCTGGACCCCAGGAAATAATTTATATAGCTTTTTAATTCATTCCTATTTACCTGCTCACAGAAAATATGTCTATTATGGAAAAACAAATTCTTACTTTACTCCTTCTTCTAATTGTTTTGATCCTTTTAGTACTAGAAAAATGCAGAATTGTTTGAATATTGAGTAAACACTTTCATCTTTTACTTTATTTTTATAAGGATGAAGTTTTGATTTTTTTTTGCATTCTTTTAAGGGTTTTTTACATGACAGCAGTATAAAACTTTTCACTAATGGACTATAGTCATTGTAATTTCATTCTGAAAAACTCATATACATTTTTAAAAAATATTTTTTAATACTGCAAGTGTTAAAATAATCTTCCTTGTAGTTCATGTGAATCTCCTACATATAAAACATGTCTACAGTGTGCTAAATAACTAGTGAAGGAAGCTTTTGTTTACATGATTTGTAGATTTAAGAATTCCCTTCTCCCCCTTGCTTCCAGTACTGCAAAGTGAAGGTTTTCAAAATGTTGACCATATTTTGCCACCCTTATCATGTTGGGTAGTATAAAAAGTAGTCCGAGAGATTTACTTATGGTATAAGATATTCTTCAGTTTGAATAAAACTGGTAAATAAATATGGTTATCAACGTCTTCCTTTCACTTTTTACGTAGGATATTTTGTAGCCTAGGTAGTCAATTGCGTACGCACCATTGTTTTTCAAACTGAATTTAGTGTTGTAGGTGCTGAACCTGAGCTTCACACACAGCCTGATAAATACTTGAAGGATATTGACAATAGTTACTGGGTTTTTTATTGAAGTGTTACCTTTTTAAGGGTTTTGTTCAAGGTGCCATGGATGTTCTTTATAGCACACTATATAAGCAGGAGTTCCTGAAAGCAAGTGAGAAGCTTATTTGCAGAAAATGTCCATTATTCTATTTTCTTGTTCCCCAGATTTTACTTATGGCCAGTGCTGGATTATGACATGCTGAGGCCCTAGGCTACGTCCAGCTGAAGAGGCCCCATATGATAAAAAATAATACATGAAATCCACGAAAATGGATTTTCATGAAATTTTAAGATGAATTATTGTTATTTCCATAAAAATGTATTAATTCAATATAAATAACTGTGGAGAAATATATGTGTGTGTGTGTGTGTGTGTGTGTGTGTGTGTGTGTGTGTCTTATTAGAATGGAAATGTCCAGGGTTTTTTTCTTATCTATAAGCCCCTTATACTGTGGGGCCCTAAATTCTAGCTTAGGTAGTTTAAGCCTAAATCTGGCACTGCCTATGGTAGTAGTTCTTTCTTGTTCAGGTCTTTGACTCATTGAGCTCAAAGGGACTTATAAAATGGCATATGAGGTAGAGATATGGTTGGTACCCCACTTTCTCCATTAGCTGTTTGATTAACTTGTGTCTAGGGTCATAGAATCATTTGGGCACACATGTAAGTCCTATATATGATCTGAAACTTTAATTACAGAAAAAACAGAGCTAGGACAAGGAAGAAGGCCTTCTCACTAGTAGCTAGAACATATGTAGACCCTTCAGACAGAAAGGGTTTTAACCTGCTCTTCTTGCTTCACATTAACCAAGTTCTCTGATGATCAGGCTATGGGCTAGACATCAGTCAGGACCCTTTCTAGCCCTCCTCTTGAAGCTTATCCATTGGACAGTCATGAGGCTTATCTACAGGGTCAAGGTGAAACAAATAAGCCAGAAGGCAGATTGATCAAATTTAACCAAGGTGTCTGTTTTTGCAAATGTGAGTTTACATATACTTGGTAAAAGATTGTTAGGGCCTGGCAGGAGTCAGAAAAAGGACAGAATAGGATTGAAAGTTGATTGGCTCTACAGTACATGCTCACACTCACACCCTTCAGTCCACCTCAAAACCAGGGACATGTCATGCTGCTGTCATGAACTGTGGCTCCACAGTTCTCTTCAGGTGAAGCTTATAAAAAAAAACAAAAAGATGTTTTAAGAGGAGTTGAACAAAGACCAAGGAGAGACCCTGATTAAAGAGGGAAGAGAAAAAAAGAGAGCATCTACTTATGTCTCAGTGAGGGAGATATGTCCAAAAGACTGGGTTTGGTGGTAAGGAATTATTTCTCTTTTGTGCTTCCTCTGGTCATTTTGTTTTCCGTGGACGGCTAAAACCACTCAACCAATAGGAGGCACTGGCCTAACAGCCTGAAAATAATGAAAGCCACTGCCTCACAGTGCTTCAAAATTATGTATATTAGAACCTGGCCTGAAGTCACTTGTCCAAGTTAACGAAGGAAATCTGTAGAAGAAGGCAGGATAAAGCACAAGTGTGAGTACTTCCATTCCCACTTTAACCATAAAACCATTATATAATTTTCACAAGATTGAATCTTGACTGCTAAAGTTTATGGGTTTTGTGTGCATAGTTTGTTAAACTGCAGCTTCTGTCTGTCAGCACAGTAGATCATATGGTGTCATTTCTAGTAATCGATCACTCTCATAGTGCTTATGAAGTCTATTTGTCTTATTTTGCCTTCCTGAATGAAGAAACATGACAGAACCTCTGGAAAAATAATGGGAGGCACATTCATGCTCGATCTGTCTTCTCTAGGCATGGGGAAAAGTTATATTTTATATTAGAAGACATGCTAAACAATTGCATTCAAAGGAATTTGGGGATCTTTTGGGGGTCTTTTTTTCATCGTATATGGAAAAGTTCTATCAGCCAAACTGGATTTGACTTAAAGTCCCTAGTTGTATATTTGCATCTGGAATTGTTTGGCACCAGTGGCAGCGCCTAGACATTCCTCTGTAACAGCAAGTAAATGCACTTTTACAACTGTGGCGCTTGATTGACTGGTAACAAGAGTAGAAGTCCAATTTCAGTCAAACAGCCAGTCACTCCCCTACCTCTAGAAGATTTCTAGTGCAACTGTTGATGTTCCCAGGACCTTGTATTTTAGGAGTATACCTGGCACCTGCACTTTGTGTAAGTGAAGGGAGGCTCCCTGTTTTCTCTTTCTCCCTGTACGTTTAGTTGTAGCCGTATTAGACATATCCAGTGGGGTCTAATTTACTAGTTATTAAATCACCTTCTTTAACCTAAGGTCAGAGGCATATCAGGGCAGCTTCACACCCAGGGCAGGCACAGTACCCAAAGCAGTGCTGACTGCCATGATGTCAATAGCAGTGGCTGCTTTTGCACCACCCCGCAAAGACAGCACTTGGGACTACTGCCCCAGCTGCCTCCCCGCAGTTTATATTACTGTCTAAAGTTATAGCTCAAGGTGACTGAAGCCAGTGTATCTATATTACAATGATACTGAATTCTACCCTCGTGGCCAAAATGTTTGCCCCTTGTTTGCCCCACAATGTTTGCCTGAGTTCCAGGGAATACTCACACACTTCATTCACAAGTGAATTAGCATCTGATTCACTTGTGTCAACATTGCACCTGAAAGCTTCCAAAGAACTTTTTTTCGGGCTACTCAGTCAGTCTAATAAAAGATATCACATCTACCAAAAAAACTTTCCTGACCATGTCCTTAGACCAACACAGCTACAACCAGAAACCCAGAAATATTCCATAACAAACTCAGCTCTATCAGTTACCACTTCAAACATGTTCAGCCAAGATTTTCAAAGAAGTAGAAAAGAATTAGGTGCTTAGGTGTCATTGCAATTAAATAGTAATTATCCACATATTTAATAGCAATTAGCACTTGAGAATTTTGAAAATATATAATGCATTTGTATAAGGAAGGATGTTACAATTTTTATTTAGCTATAGGCAAGTCCTTGGCTTTTTCAGTATCCTGTAAACATTATTGAAAGGAAGGGGGAGATAAAACAAAGAATATGTCAGTTGTCCTAAATGAATCTGATTTGCCACCCATAAATATTCCAATTCTGATGTACTTGTGTCCACTTTCCATAACTACTAAGGGTTTTCTAACATTGGGGTTAACATTAGGGAAAGATAGACAAGCAACACATACTTACTTGTGAAGCCATTTCTCGTGACTGACAAAGAGGGGAAAAAAGAAAACAAAAGACAGTTTAAACAGTAATGGGAAAGCAGGAACAAACATGGACCATCTAACAGCAATAACAGATAATCATTAACAGAGAAAATAAATATAATCTGGTATCTCTTTTACTAGATAAGCACAGAAAATCAAACAGCCCAAGGCTGAATTGATTCAATCTTTGTGTTAGTCTAAACTGCATAGATAGAACCAATAAGCAAGTGAACAGACATTCACTTTCGATTCTAAAAATGCAGTCACACGCCTGCAGCAGCCAGGCCAGAAGCTATGGGGTGCTAGAGTATACCACTCAGCTGAAGTGGACAGCCTGGGCCAAGGTTAACCTGCCCACCCTGTGAAGGGGAGTTTGCGAGGGAGGTGCAAAGCATCTTGGGATGCTGGGGGACTGCAAGTCAACTTAAATCTGGAAGGGATCTGGGACAGAAGTTCAATAAACCAATTTAATCTAAGTCACTTAAGTCTGATACTATGTCCATCCAGGTTTACCTTAAACCAATTTCAGCCATTTTGAAGGTGGTTTACATGTACCAAACTTCTGTTATGTTACCTATTTGAACTGATTTCCAATCATTTATACTGGTTTGTGTGTAATTTCTGTTCTCATCCATTGTGAAAGGACTAAATCCAAATCACTGGAATTTTATCTCATGAATTCATAAGTATACTTTCCAGCATTAAATAATAGCCCTCTTTAAAAACTACACTAGTAAATATAACAGGGTACAGAGATGGGCATGCCAGGTACCAGGCACCTAGTGCCAGGAGCAGATGCTAGAAGGTGAGGATCACCCAATGACATTACTATCACTACCCAACACACTGCACAGATGCTCCCTGCAGTTGAAGTTCCCAGGCCAGGGGAACAAACATGGTTGAAGGTGAATGTTAAGAGACCCACCCACTGCTGCTGACCCAGCACCCAGTGCAGGTACTTCCTTCCATGCCCAGCTAGAGCAAGTCAGGAGCAGCCCTGGGGCTTCCCATGCCCCAAGTCAGCTGAGGACAGGAGCAACAATGATAAGGTACTGGTTCCTCACCTGCTCCTCATTTGGTCCCCTTGGTGTCCAGGCAGAGACACCAGCCATGCCGCTTACACTGCAGGGGACCGAAGCAGCCTGGGCCATGGAGAAATGGAGAGGGCATCTCATAATTTTCACTGTGAAGGGAGGGAGTGGGACCACACCAATGCACACCCCTATATCTGCCCCTACCTCTAGGATGGGGTGGGCAAAATCGTGGATCCGGCTGGTGGCCAGACTCTGTTTCCCAGCAGCACCTGCCCACATTGCTGCAGCCGGTTTCTATGGAGACCAGCTCAAGCAGCTCTGACACGGTGCATGGGTGGGTGGGGAGCTGCTCTAGGACTGGGGCTGGGATTTTGTGGCAGTGACAGTATGGTCTGGAGTTTGGACAGAGCTACAGTCCACTGCCTATACATCCCTGCCTGATCCCTGCCCTGGGCATGCTGGCAACAGATTGTGTCTCTCCCCTGGCTCTGAACCATGCTGTCATCACTGCAAAATCCTAGCCCTGGATCAGGTCCTCACCCAGACGCATGCTATGCTAGTGCTGCTGAGGCTGGTATCCATGGAAACCCTGACCCATGCTGTCACGGCTCTTCCCCTCCCGGGGTGTCCATGGAAACTGGCTGCAGCGACATGGGCAGGTGCTGCTGGCAAATGGAGTGCACCATGGGCTGAATCCCACCTGTGGGCTGGACTTTACCTGTCCCTGCTCTAGGACATTCAAATCTACATCTTCTACCTTACCAAGATCCAACCCACGAAGCTGTAACTCTTTCCTCAGTTGGAATAATTCAAAATCCATTGGTAGCAAGACAGAGAGCAAAAATAAACATTACACTCTAGGGTAGAGGTTCTAACACATGGTACAATTGTTAAAGAACAAGGAGGCTGGGTTACAATCTACAGTCCCTGCTTCAGTGATTGTTCTGTATAAAAACAGACGATAATTAGAGACAATTCTGGACATGGCTTGAAGTAGTTATTTGGAGTATTTAGAGATCTATAGACTTAGGCATCTTCAGGTTTAGGCAGTAGCTGAATGGAATCAGGGGTCTGGATCAAGGACCACAATTTTAGATTCAGGACATATGTAGAAATTAGACATCTAAACTTGTTTATTGGATCTGGCCTCTGCAGTCCACAGAATGACCTTGATAGGTGTTTAGTTGCTGGTGCTTGCTCAATTAAAAATTATGTTTCCTAACCAAAGTGACTCCACTGGGGTGCATACTTCCCTGCAGAGAAGTCTCAATGGTTCATGTAAAATATGCCAGTAGTAATAATGAAGGTGATCATTACATAACTCTTTCCCATGGACTTTGCCAGCTGACTAATAGGAAAGGGCAATTTGTTTGTGCATCTCTGTTATAGAACCTATTTACATATTAATTATGGGCAGCTTCTAGAGCTCTTAATTTTTGCATGGTCTGCATGTCAACTCCTTTATGTGTTTTAAAGCACTTGTTATGTATCTGCTCCATTAGGTGTGGACACTCCCCACTGAATTGACTCAAATTGAAGGTGTGACTGCACGCTAGCACTAAGCCAATAAAGAATTCTGCAGCTCACCGTGCAATGTGTAACAAGGACCATATATTGGAAAACATGGGTATATGAGGAGAGTAGGTGAACATGAGGAAATCACTGAGCTAAATCATTGTGGTAAATTGTATGACTATTTAGTGCCTTTTAGTAAGTCACTATTTAATCTTGCTGCTCTTAAATTACTGTTTTTTTCATCATGGTTTGTGTGTGGTACACTGACTAAACACAGAGTATTACAGGAAATTATTTTTTCTTACTATTTCTACCATGTCTTTGCTTCTAAGAGTTCAATGGAGTAGAAAAGGATTCTGTGTCCTCTATAATATTGAAAACTATGCCTAATTTTTCTTATGTTGGCACTGCTGTTGCCCTTGTTCTTCTCCAAGAGATGATTATGATGGATGGTGTTATAGTGATACTGATATGAAAAGTATGAACTAATAATAATGTCGAAGTGCAGCCCACTAGTTCATATGTGTTTGGAAGAACCTAGAGAAGAAGGCACAGTGAATCACCTCTACTGAAAATTCAGATAGAGAACAGTAGGCTATTAGGGAAAGCTATCCCATAGTACTCTGTTGTAAATTAAGCTGTCTCTTTGGTTCAAAAATATAAACATGGCTAGTTCAGATTAATTGATTTGATTTGTTTTATTTTTCAGAGAAATGAGAATAAAGTATCAGCAAAGAAAACAGGAGTCCTTGTATCCACACCGTAATAAAAACTAGGATGCAAAATACACACCCCATATGCAAACAGACCAGTGCAGTCACATGGTAATGTTTACTATGATCTAAATATAACATGTCCTGGAAACTAATACATCTGGAAGCTGCCTGGGAAGACTTAGTGCAGTAGGAATGTTAGTCTAGCTAGTACAATATTCCAATGTGCTGCAGGGGCCAGAATTGGAAGAAAGCTGTTTGTTGGTTCCAGCCTTCCCACTGCACTGAAGCCAGTGAGGATCACTCACTAGGGTTACCATATTTCCAGGTCCAAAAAAAAGGACACATGTCAGCAGGGAGATGGGGGGGGGAGCAGTGACATGCCAGTGCCCTGCCCATTCTGTTGTCCCTCACTGTCAAGCAACACACCCCCAGCCCTGCTTCTTCCCTTCACTCCAGACCCACTGATCCCATCCCTGCCAGTTCCCCTCACTCCTAAACAGAAGTACCCTGCCCCCCACCCCTTGCTGGCACCCCTTCTTACCAACCTGCAGCCCCCTGGCACTGCCAGTGCCCTGCACACCCAACCCGCAGTCACTCATCCCATCCCCAATGCCCCTCACTCCTGACCAACAGCCCCCTGCCCCACTCCCAGTCCTGGCAGTGCCCCTCACTCCTGACCCACAGCCCCTCTTCCAGCCCTGCCGGTGCCCCTCACTCCCAGCCTGCAGTCTCTGCCCCACATCCCTGCTAGTGCCCCTCACTCCCAATCCACAGCCCCCTCATGCTGCCAGTACCTTGCACACCCAACCCACAGTCACCCCTCCAATCCACCATGCCCCTACTCCTGACCTACATCCCCTGCCCCACAGTCCTGCCAGCGCCCCTCACTCCCATCCTGCAGCCCCTTCCCCTCTAGCCCTGCCAGTGCCCCTCACTTCCAACCCGCAGCCCCTTGCCCCCCTCCTCCCCAGCCCTGATGCCCATGCAGTTCACACATGCATGCACACAAACTCTGTCTCTCTCTCTTACTGGGGAGCAGCTGCCAGGGCCCACACATAGAGCACGTGATCCCCTGACAGCCAATCACCTTGCCCTGCTGCCCCCAGCC